ATCTCGCACCGTTTTCGAGATATTTGGCTTTGAAACTTCCAATGCTGTTGCATTGAATTACAATTAAGTACCTACAGGTGTTATTAATTTAGCGGTAAAGTTTCTTAAGTAGGATTTGGACGAAAATCAAATAATTGACGTCTTCCACTTGTCTTATTGCTGCCATTTGCTAATTTCTATTAAGTTTTATTCGTATCTAATTAAAATTACATCTTAGCTTACAAATTAATTGTATACCTACTCGTATACACAAATGTGAGATAGAATGCCGAGGTTTTCGTTTTTGGAGTTACATGAAATCAGTTGTTTATGGAGAAACTATAAACACTTGAGAAGAACTTTAGTAGCAGGTTTTAAATGCTGCAAAGTCATTTCGCATTAAGGATTTATACTTTAAAATAAGACAATCTTTTAATAAACGTATTGAAGCTAGAGGTGGATATTTTGAGCAATTATTGTCAAAAAGGCATATTTTTACTAATGTTTACTATTTTACTGTTCATTGCAATTTTTAATTCTAAATAAACCCTTGTTTTTGACATTTCTAAATTATTTTAATTATTTCAACTATTAGCATTGGAAGTTTCAAAGCCAAATATCTCGGAAACGGTGCGAGACAGCTAGTTTCATAAAGTCTACCTTTTTTGTGTAAAAAAGTTGGAAAATAAGAATTTGATACCAAAGATGAGATACCTTAAAGTACAAAAAAGTTATGTCGTTTCCACCACCTTCAATCTACGGCAGCTGGCGCCCTCTATGAACTATATCCAAAATGTGAACAAATTTCAATTCGTCTATCCAAAGAACTCCAAATCCCAAAATTTTGTCTAGATATTTGCATTTATTAAGAAATAAATGTATCTCTCTGTATCTCTGTATCTGTATCTCTTTAACTATCAACTTTTGGACTAAGTTCGGCTAAATCGCAATATTTTTACTTGGGGAATCTACCCATTAATTTTGGCCCATTACCTCGCGACCACCCTGTATAGTTTAATGTAAAATCGCATTAAAGTTGAATGTAATTTTACAAAATATTTTTAGGAACACTTTACAATGAATCAACAACTACAATTTCGTGTTTCTATCACTGGCAACATTTCTAAATTGCAATTTTACCGTTATGCAGTGAAAGAGGCCCACCGTAAAACCTCCACCTTGTACAACTCTTGCATAATTTCACCATCGTGAACAATCGTAGAAATTTAAACTATGCCCGTGACCCATGACCAAAAATGTTACATAGTGCAAGAAGAGGAGTTTCTTCTATTATTATAAACAAAGTTTATGACTCTGGCACTTGGTTTTCGGAGTAATCTTTATCACAAAATGGGATCTTACGGCCGTATAATGTAAATATGCGCCAGGGTTCAGCTCATGATTCAAGATTTATTACTCAATTATTTCAGTGTATGTAGGAAAGGTGAGCTCTAACAGATCCTGACAAGATAATGACCGTTGTCGAAATATTGAATTTGAACAATATATCAGAATAAATTTCATATCAGACATAATGTGGCTTGAAATTTGGGTTCGTCCAAACGGTCACGAGATAAAAAATGATAATGTTGGTCGTCAACTGTTTTACTAATGGTAATAATAGACTCCGGAGTAACCTCGAAAGTTATGTTCATATGCGTGCAGCTCTATTAATAGGTGCAGTTAAATTATTCTAGAATAAAAAACGTTAGACTTGTTCTTGTAGATCGATATAAGAAAACAGTTTGGGTTGTAACAATTTAGGTAGTGTTTAATCTGGACACGATTATTACATAGAAAAATATACATGTCACCGTTTATTAAAATCATAAAAAATTCTGCCGTCATGATACTGCATTTAAATTGTTTATAAAAAACCCTGCGATACGAGCTTAAAGAGGCTAAAGACTTATTGTAGAATATTGATTTAATTGTTCAAACTTTTTAATATCTAAGGTCTTACCATGTCATTTTTAGAAGATATTTAGGTTTTTGAGAATTGAATTCAACAACCAGAAAATTATATATTTTCTGGCAAGGGATGAGAAGTGGAAGAATGAAAGATATGATTGTTTGTTTGAAAACGACGTACTTTTAGAACTGATTTTAATTTAGGAAATAAGAAAAAATCGCAACGTCTACACGATTTTCTTTCTGTTGTTCGGTCATCAAACGAGGAATAAAATTCCAGTCAAAATTTCATGGCATGACCCAATTGAAATGCTAAGCTCTTCTACAATTTCTCTGATGGCCCATCGGCGATTTGCGTGCACCAGATCTTTGACTTTCTGAACGTATGAGTCATCAGTTGAAGTAGAAGGCTTTCCTGGATCATCTTCAATTGAGTGACGACTACTTTTAAACAGGAAAAACGATTTCTACCATTGTGTACAACCCAGAGCATCATCTCCGTAAGCTTGTTTCAAAAGTTAAAACATTTTCGTGTTACAGATGAAGAAGTGATATCGATATAATTAAAAAATCAAATAAACATTTTTGTAACTTTCAACCGATGCTTGTAACTGGTGATTACTTGATGTTTAGGGTATTGTTTCAAGTCATTGATTTCATCACATAGGATCCAAATTCAATAACATTAAATATTTGTCGCATAAGGGAATAATAATGTATATTAAAAATTAGTTGTCTCTTTTATTTTATATTTTACTTTTCTTTCTCACTTCCTGTAATCGTGTAAATTTTGCCCCGATGGATATTGTTTTTCTAAATAAAAATTCAATTATCTATCTAATTTTTAACATTACAACAACAATATTTCCGCATAATGTTATATGATTATTTTTAAAGGTGTCAATAGAATATACTAATATTTAATAATAAATTTTGTTGTCAAATTACAGGAAGTCATTAATCAAGTTAATTGTTCCGCAAGTAGTAGTAGCTATAATTTTATTATTATTATTGAAAATGTCTATTTACATTTAACACTTGACGGTGCTAATGAATTCAATTTGACTTATTCTAATAGAACACAATTAAATAAAATTTTTCACTTATTAGCATAATTAGCACGGTTCGTTAGTTCCGTGAAAATTAATTTATTTCTTAATATCTGTCATTATGTAATTTATTTATTATTATAACATATATAAGGCACCATGCCTTATACGTTTATCAAAATAAGAGAAAAATATTTTAAAACATATTTTAAAGCAGTTGATTTTTTTGAGAATAAAATCAAGAAGCTTAATTCTATTTTGCTGCAGCTGTTAAAAGATACAATTCAAATAAAACTCTAGATCTGTGTACAGTGTGTTTAAGGAATTTTTTCTTTACTGACCGACATTAATGAACTGTTTTTAGTTAAATATACAAGGTGTTACAAATTAGTAGTTCAAGCAGTTAACCCCATATTATTTGAATTAAAATAATGGGACTTTTCTTATTCCATTTTTCAAAATACGGGATGTTAAAATTAAAATTTAAAAAATGATTTTTACTGATTACTCCGGTGATTGTAGAGATATTTATTTGAAATTTAGGACTTTGGTATTTTGATCTTAAGTCGCCTTTTGTGTAATTTTGGTTTAAAGTACCCATGGATCCCCTATTTTTTTTTGAGTACGCCTATGCTTTCTGAATATTTTTGTTTTTGGATAAACTGTCTAATCATAAGTCACAACAAGTTTTACCTAAATTTCTCTATTCGCGTTCAAGATATTAAAAAAATATTATTTTTTTTTGGAATCCATAACACCCTGTTTCTCGAAAACGAAGATTTTCGAGCCCTAGGTTTATATACATTATTCTACTTAACTTTACCCGAGAAACATATCCTCCAAGTTTGTCGCCTTAACTACTTTCAATTTATTTTAATAAATTAATTTAACATTAATTTAGACATATTGTCAACTTTCGACATTGTCGTTTAAAAATTTCATTTTTTCTAAAAACTTTCTGTTCTATTCATATTTACTAATTCTATTTACAAGGACACAAAAAGCAATCTTCAAAATGGAGAAATATCTTAAACTATTGTGACTACGCGTTAGTCTTTGTCAAAGATGATGTTAGAGAACAACAAGAGTAAAATGTATTTCATTGACATATTATATAATTTAATTATTTCGACATGTCAGGTGTGCGTTTTCCATTGAATAATACTTAAATATTCATTTTCAACTTTTATTTTAGTTAATTATTATTGACTAGGTGTTTAACAGATATCGTGGAGTATAATTCATCATTTAAGAATCTTGTATATGAGGTTAAATGTTTTTGTATACCTAAACTTTTGGCAAAAGCAAACCTCATTGTTTCACTTTATTTCATAAAATTTGTATGAAAATGTTTTAAAATTAGTTGATTAACTTAATATACCTTTAAAATAAAGTATAACTAAAAACCTGTAAATATAAGTTAGTTGTAGCTTCAAATGTTTTTGTGTTGGTTTTGATCTTTAACAATAGCTATTTTGTGAATATCTGAATACTTTTACTTAGATACTTAAAACAGTCTTTGTTTGGTACTACAAAAACTGGTATATTTGTATTTCAGATTTCAGATCAGCCATTTGGATTCTTTTCCTTAAATGCCTAATAGTACTTCGCTGATTTTTGACAGCCTTGAATTATGAAGTGAATTCTTTCCACGTGTTTCCACAAGTTCGTTAAAATTGGCAAATAAGTTTAAAAAAGTCACAGGGTGGCTAATCCTTAAACAGAGCAAATATAAGTTGTTTAAATGTTCAGAATGTTGAAACAGAATTTTTAAAATGTCGAAAGTAGAAGAATTATCATGAGAGCTATGTCTCACTCCAAAATTAACGCACTTGAGCAAAATTGTATATTAGGTTTATTTCAACAATATTTGGCATTCGATGATAAAATGTTTTATGGCGAAACAATAATCGCTTTTACAAATTTACCCTTTAATTACTGCAGATCCGTTGAAACGCCTTTTATAGATGGTATTACCATTTTTATTGCCAACTATTTATATTGGCTGCACTATTTATTATATAATCAAGAAAATATGTTTATAAATTGTTTTTGTTTCAGATCAAAATGCCCGAAACCGCAACTTCGACCCCTTCGGAGGACCGACCCTTATCCCTGTCTAGACGCGACTTCCCCCTACCATCTCCTGGTAGTAGCAACAGGTCATCTTCCGGCAGTCGCTATGAGGGTCAGATCCCCTACCACCACCAAGTGCCTTTGCCGTCGGCAATGAGCCACCACAGGGAGAGTTCCGCATTTGTGCCAGTTGTCCCTTCACGCAATATGCACCCTATGCTCTATCCGGGCGAGATCCACCCCTTGTTGGGGTCCGAGTTGATCCGCGAAAACCGCGAGAGAACCGACAGTAACAAATCCGGAGAGTCAAACGCGAATCCCGCGTTTTCCGCCGTGCGAAAGTCCTCTTCCTCCAGCTTCGACCTCATGGCGATGATGGCCGACAAGCGCAAAGAGCTGCAGCTTCGCGAGGAGGCAGCATGCGTGGCGGCAGCGCACGCCGCGGCGCTGATGCTGCCCCATCGACCGGGGCCGCCCCCTGGAATGCTGGAAGCTTCAGGGAGTACACAAGCCCACTCGTACTCCGGATTTTTACCTTCTTCACCCGCCAATCCCGCTACGTTTACGTTTCCGGGCAGCGGGGCTCTGTATCCGCCGCCTCAGATGCACGCGCACTTGGACAGGAGACTGCTTAGGGCCCCCGGTAGGGCTTCTAGGCCGAAGAAGCAGTTTATCTGTAAGTTTTGTAATAGACAGTTTACCAAGAGTTACAATTTGTTGATCCACGAGCGTACCCATACCGACGAAAGGCCGTACTCTTGTGATATCTGCGGGAAGGCGTTCAGAAGGCAGGACCACTTGCGGGATCACAGGTGAGCTGATTTACATTTTTGTTAACATTTGTGGAATTATGTTCCCTGAGGCATACAAGTTATTTTTACTTCAGCAGTTTGCCATTCAATATGTATTAAAATTTAATATTCCTTGATTATTTGTTCCTGAATTTGCTTTGGCTGTATTTATAAATGAGCCAAGCATAAACATATTAGAAATTATAGGTATTTCCAACAGCGCTGCATAATATTTGTACTTCAGCTTTGCTGAGGATACAAATACCAATATGTCTTAAGTAATTTTACGTTTAATATGAAATTTTGGATTGACAGTCGCCTAAGGCTCGCTATACAGGGTGTTTACTAAATAATGGGACATACTTTAAGACTAGCTTCCTTGGATGAACCTAAGGTGACTTAAATCAACCTACTTTAGTACAATCTTGCCTCCTTAAGAAGTTATAGATAAGAGAAAGTAGTTTTTTTATTCCAATTGTTTACGATAATTTATTTATTATTTGGTTAATTTTACTCAAATTTTGGAAAAGTAGTTGTTTTTTCTTTATAAACACGAATATCTGTTTGTGTTTTGGGATAAATATACTGGGCGTCCTGAGCGCCCTTGCCACTACATTGTCTCCTTCAAAAATTTTTTAAGGATCTATATTTTTGGAAAATGATTAGTTATCTAGGTATCTTTGTTGCATGTCGCTGAAATGCACCGTTTTAGAGAAAATAACTTTCAAGTTATTGCTGCAATTTCTCAATTTAAGGCTAAGAAACTAATAAGCTGGCCTTATTGTGTCAAATCCAGTGGACGTTTTACATAAAGGCGTTAGATTCGTGAGCTATAAAATATGGCACTCTTGTACCATGTCACGACATAACTTATTCTCAAACAGTGAAATGATCGATATGATATCAGTTTATACCCAACAAGATTTAGTGCACACGCTGTGGTAAGAAGTTATGCAGATATCATAGACAGCCCAACTGAAAATTGTTTTCACGTCTGGTTAGCAGATTAAGGGAAGCTGGAAGTTTTCGCCAAAGAAGGTATTGGATTTTGTCGAAGATGACCCAGTCACAAGTATCCGCCAATTCTAAATTAAGTCGGTGAACTGTGTTTAACATTTTACATGAATAATAATTACACCCGTACCATTTTACTCCTGTTCAAAACTTACTGCCACATGATCTTTTAGCGTGAACAAACTTTTTTGAATTCGTGTTAAATAAAACGAGACAAGATCCACTTTTTATAAGTATAATTCTGACTGATGAGGCAACATCTACAAGAAAAGGAATTTTCAACTATAAAAATTGTGACACATGGTCCGAGGAAAATCCAACTGTACGAGTTTAAATTAAATGTTTGGTTCGGTATAGTCGAAGGTCCTTGTAGGACCTTTTGAACTTCCAGCAACATTGAATGGACATGATTATTTAAACTTCCTCGAGCATACCTTCGATCTGCTAGATGATGTTCATTTAAATTTTACGGCTAGTAAGTGGCACTTACAGAATGGCATCCCTGGTCATTCTATTTTAGCATTAAGAAATCATTTAAATAACATGTTCCCCCTTCGGCGAATTGGACGAGAGAGTGCACATCCATGGCCTCCACGAAGTCCAGATTTGAATCCTCTGGATTTCTATTAAGGCGATATTTTAAAACTCTGGTTTATTCTGGCCCTACTGTTAATTCCAGAAATGAGTTTCGGCAAAGAATGCAGCAGCATATGATATTAGGCAGGAAGAAGTAGCAGCATATGATATTAGGCATATCCTTCCGACACTCTTAACAGTTAGAAGAGATGTCAAAAATGCATTGAAGCAAGTGGCTGATATTTCGAAAATCAAATTTAAAAGGAAAATTGTTTTTGCTTTACATTTAGGTCTAAATGGTTATTTTTTATTTTGTTAGTTTTAAATGTTGTATTTTTCATGTTGTCATATTTTTCTGTTTTTGATTTCATGTTTACGTTTTCAGTTATTATAAGAACCATATTACTAATTGTAACAACCTTTTGAATTAATAATTCATTGTAATTTATGTATTATTTTCATACTTATTACGTACCTGTTTTAAACGTTATTTTCTCTAAACGGTGCAATTCAGCAACACGCAACAAGGATACTTTTTTTAAAGGAAATCAAATGCTGTTTTAAAATAACTAATCATTTTCCAAAAATATGGATCTTTAAAAAAATCTGATATTCGTGTTTATGACACAAAATAACTACTTTTCCAAAATTTGAGTAAAATTACACAAATAATAAATAAACTGTAAAAAAATTGAAATTAAAAAAAACTGCTTTCTCGGCCTTATAGCAATATGGTACTAAGGTAAGTTAATTTAAACCACCATTCTTTAGTTACGTTACTGCGTCAGAGTTGCTAAGGGATCGACTTTAAGACGATCTACAGATCAGGGCGGACCTGTTTTGAGGTGGATGTGAGAGGGGACAAGCAAATTTTGTCTGAATTACCTTCAGTACAACTCGTATAATAAAAGTCTACATCCCTATATCTGGGCGAGGTTCGAAACATTTTACATATATCTTGGAACCTATGCATTTTGGAAGAATATTGAAAAGGAAAAAGTTTTAGAATTGAATTTTGCACAATACAGGGTGTTAAAAAAGGAGTGTAAAATATTTCAGGAGGTAATAGTATGAATCAAAATAAGCAGAAAAGACTTAATAAACATGGGTCCGCAAAGTAACTGTTGCGGAGATATGGAATGTTTTATGTTTTTTAGCCCCTTTTTTTATTTTGCAAAAACGTTGTGTATTTTCTTATAATAGTTGGTTGATGTTTAGTGAAATAAACAGTACGTATTTGACAGTTGTTCTCAGTGCACAAGTTTTCTTTCGCTATGGCTGGTTACTCTAACGCAGAATTAACAGACATGCATTTCATGTATGGTCGTGCTAATGGGAACGCCACCGAAGCGCGACGTCTTTATGTTGACGCTTATCCAAATCGCCAGATTCCTTCACAACGCATGTTTGGAAGAATTCACCAAAGATTGCGTGATACCGGTTCCTTGAGCAAACAGTGCCATTTATCCGGAAGACCAAGGTCGGTATCCACTCCTAGAGCAGAAGAAGAAATTCTAGCACTGGTAGAGCAGAATCCAGGTACGAGTGTGCGGAGAATATCAGCCGAGGTAGGAATTAGTGGTCCTCTTGTTTGGAGAATCCTTCACGAGCAACTGCTTTATCCATACCATGTGCAACGAGTACAGGCCTTAAATCCAATAAATGATCATCAAGCACGTTTGGTTTTTTGCCGCTGGTTTCTACGTCATGATGCTGAAGACCCTCGTTTTCTTGCAAACATTCTTTTTACTGATGAGGCCGGGTTCACAAGAAATGGAGTGTTTAATTTTCACAATACGCATATTTGGGCCGACGAAAATCCTCATGCTCTAATAGAATCTGGACATCAGGCACGTTTTTCATTAAACATTTGGATGGGTATTGTAGGTGACAGGTTTCTAGGTCCTGTTGTTTTACCAAACCGATTAACAGGCGCTGCTTACCTCAACTTTCTGCAGAACACACTGTATGAGTTTTTGGAAGACATTCCTTTGAATCAGAGGCAACAAATGTGGTTCCAGCATGATGGTGCTCCAGCTCATTTTTCCATGGCCGTTAGAGAGCATTTACACCAAACTTTTCCACATAGATGGGTAGGAAGGGCCGGACCTGTTTTATGGCCTCCAAGATCGCCTGATCTGAACCCTCTAGATTTCTTTGTTTGGGGATATTTGAAGACATTAGTGTATGGTACTCCTGTAAATAGCCTGGAAGAGCTGCAGCTACGGATTAATCAAAAGTGTCAAGAAATCCAAACCAAGGAGGGTGTTTTCGAAAGAGTTCGAATATCGTTGAGACGAAGATGTCGTGCCTGCTTGGAAATGGACGGAGGGCACTTTGAACATCTTCTGTAACTTTGTTTTTTGTTTGTTAAAAGCTTCCTTTGTCGGTTTATTCCTAATAAAATAAAATGTTTGAAAAACGAATAGTGGTCCATATCTCCGCAACCGTTACTTTGCGGACCCATGTTTATTAAGAGTTTTCTACTTATTTTGGTTCATACTATTACCTCCTGAAATATTTAACACTCTCTTTTTAACACCCTGTATACTGTAAGTTAAAAATATTTAATTTATTGCCGTTGTTGCAAAATAGTAATAATTGATGAAAAAAAGGCAAAAAAATAAAAATGTTTTAATTGTTCCGAGGGCATTCTAATTTTGTTAAAAAAAACTTTATAGTATAATAAAATAACACAACAAATTCCATTAAAATCGGTTGGATAGTTTTCGCAAAATAATTTTTTAAAAACCGATTTTAATGATATTTGGTGTGTTGTTTTATTATACTATAAAGTTTTTTTTACCAAAATTGGAATGCCCTCGGAGCAATTAAAACATTTTAAAAAGATTATCAAAAAACTTTATTTTTTTGCCTTTTTTTCATCAATTATTACTATTTTGCAACAACGGCAATAAATTTAAACATTTTTAACTTACAGTATTCTCCCAAAATGTAAAATAATAAGTAAAAAACTCAGATAAAAATAGGTATTTTTAAAAATTTTTTAAACATTTTTGAAATTTTGAAAATGTTCCGGACCTCGCCCAGACCTAGGGATCTACACTTTTATTATGTCAGTTATGCTGAAGGTATTCCAGCCAAAATTAGCTTGCCCCCTCTTACATCCAAGAAGTGGGATATTTCGACAGATCCGTCCTGGTTTACTAGTGTACATTCTGCAGAGTATTGTAAATATTGCCTTTGTTTTAATCTCGAAATTTCCCGTTTAGTGTTTTAAATAATGAATGGGCTTTATAGATAGTTTTTTCATCACTTTGACTATGAAAATTAAAAATAGTAAATATTCTTCATATGTAATGATGACCCATCAGTATATCAGGGTACTAATAAACTAATAACAGGGATGAATAGATACTTTTTTGTACTGTTAAGGACTAAGAACCTATTGTAAAATATATTATTCCAAA